TAGCAGTAGTAGTAGTAGTAGTAGTAGTAGTAGTAGTAGTAGTAGTAGTAGTAGTAGTAGTAGTAGTACTAGTAGTAGTAGTAGTAGTAATAATAGTAAGGCCACTTCTTCTTTATGGTCAGGAGCTCCAGATGTTCTATGGCCAAAACTGTTATAGGGATCCTTGAGAATATTTTCAGTTTGCCCTTACCCTTTTCCTCCTCGCCCTGACGGGCACTCTCCTCTCGCCCGCCGTTCTGCCCTCACCTACTGCCCCTCCATCTATTTCTCCTCCTCCTCCTCCTCCTCCTCCTCCACTTCCTCCTCACCATCACCCCCTCCCTACCCCTTCCCCGTCCTCGTCCTTCCCCTGCTTCTTCTCCGCGCGCTCCTCCCTTTCCCTGTTGTCGGGGCAAGCAGATCGATGTTCCTCGGCGCCGTCGCCGCCGCGGCCACAGCGCGCGCATTCCCCGACGGCTTGTTCGCGAAGCCTGGACGCAAAGGGTTCCCCCCTGCGCCCTATTCGGTCGACGATGGGTTACCACCGCCACCCCAGAGACAAGGGGTTACCCGTGCCCCCGATTCGGCCGACGATGGGGTACCACCGCCAGCCTGGAGACAAGGGGCTACCCCTGTTCCCGATTCGGCCGAGGATGGGTTACCACCCCCGGCCCGGACGCAAAGGGTTTCCCCCGTGTGCCCGATTCGGCCCACGATGGGTTACCACCGCCAGCCCGGAGACAAGGGGTTACCCCTGCCCCATATTCGGCCGAGGATGGGTTACCACCCCCGGCCCGGACGCAAATGGTTTCCCCTGTGTGCCCGATTCGGCCGACGATGGGTTACCACCGCCAGCCCGGAGACAAGGGGTTACCTCTGCCCCCGATTCGGCCGACGATGGGGTACCACCGCCAGCCTGGAGACAAGGGGCTACCCCTGCCCCCGATTCGGCCGAGGATGGGTTACCACCCCCAGCCCGGACGCAAAGGGTTTCCCCCGTGTGCCCGATTCGGCCCACGATGGGTTACCACCGCCAGCCCGGAGACAAGGGGTTACCCCTGCCCCGTATTCGGCCGAGGATGGGTTACCACCCCCGGCCCAGACGCAAATGGTTTCCCCCGTGTGCCCGATTCGGCCGCCGATGGGTTACCACTGGCGGCCCAGAGACAAGGGGTTACCCCTGCCCCCGATTCGGCCGAGGATGGGTTACCACCCCCGGCCCGGACGCAAAGGGTTTCCCCCGTGTGCCCGATTCGGCCCACGATGGGTTACCACCGCCAGCCCGGAGACAATGGGTTACCCCTGCCCCATATTCGGCCGAGGATGGGTTACCACCCCGGGCCCAGACGCAAATGGTTTCCCCCGTGTGCCCGATTCGGCCGCCGATGGGTTACCACCGGCGGCCCAGAGACAAGGGGTTACCCCTGCCCCCGATTCGGCCGAGGATGGATTACCACCCCCGGCCCGGTCACAAAGGGCTACCCCTGCGCCCGGCCGCTGTCTCGTCGTCGTCGTCGTCGTCGTCGTCAGCTCCTCAGTCGCCCTTTCGGGCACGCAGGCCCATGACAACAACAAATTTGCCGATGACCAGCTTAGACGAGACAAACCGAATAATCAAACGAATCCTAACATATTAACATACACCACGAAAATGGTTCCCAAATCGTCGCAGATTACCCCCTTACCCTCCCCCTCCTCCTCGTCCACCTCCTCCCCCTCCTCGTCCTCGTCCTCCTCCTCCTCCTCCTCCTCCTCCTCCTCCTCCTACTCCTCTCGTCCTCGGCCCCTCCTGCTTCTGCTGCTTCTCCTCCTCCTCCTCCTGCACCTCCTCCTCCGCCTCCCTCTTCCTCCTGCTCCTGCTCCTGCTCCTGCTCCTGCTCCTGCTCCTGCTCCTCCTCCTCCTCTTCCTCCTGTTCCTGATCCTCACTCCTCCGGTCCTCTTCCCCCCTCCGTCTCCTCTTCACCCTCCTCCTCCTCCTCCTCCTCCTCCTCCTTGGTCCCCCCCCCCTCCGCCCCTCCACCCCTCCCCCCTCTGCCCGTCCCCCCTCTCCCCGGCACGCCCCCGCTGCAGGACGCGGGTCGCCGAGGCCACGGGAATCCGCCAACTCCGCGATCATCCTCTCCCGGTCCTCCGCCGGGCGGGGCGGGGCGCGCAACCCGCGGGGCATCGGAGCCCCTGCTCCGTCTGCGCGCGGGCCAAGCCGGCGGGGGCGGCGCCGGGCGGGGCGGCACGCACGACGGCGAGGAGAGAGCGGAGGACGAGGAGGGGGAGGGGAGCTCTCGATGAGCCGATTTTCCGCCAACGCTACAATGAATACGTAGGAGGGGAAGAGGAGGAAGAGGAGGAGGAGGCGGAAGAGGAGGAGGAAGTGGATAAAGACCAATGTGCACCAGATGCTCATCAACGATACTGCGAGAAACCCTCCCTCACAATTCCCTCGCCATAAGGCTTCACACTTACTCCAGACTTCGTAATAAAAGGGAGGGGGTCTGGACCCTCCAAGACAAGCCATTTCAGACCTCCCCCGTGGGAGAACCCTCCAAAACATCGTCCGCAGACCCCCCCAGGCCCTCCAAGATAGCCTGGAAGAGACCCCCCCCGAAATGAGACCCCCCTCCCTGTATTACGAAATCTGGAAGACTGTCATTAGGAATGTCCCGTTGGAAGACGACCGTGAGAAACTACGTGGCTGCGTCAATACACCCTTCCCGGGGCTGCAACGCGGCGAAAATTACCGCTACTGTTGCGTCCTGGCGATCCTGAATCGTGACAAAACGCCGTTCCTGGCCCTTCACTGGGTAGTCGAAGCCAATCTGGCGCCAATCTGGCAGGCCCAATCTGGCAAACGGGGGCAATCTGGCGAGGGAGCCAACGCGAATCCAGTCTGGCGAATGACCCCAATACTCCAGTTTGGCCGGGCCAGATTGGCCCTTGGGGCCCAATCCAATCTGACAGTCTGGCCTTCGACTACCCAGAAAACGCCGTTCCTGGCCTGGCCCTTCATCACCGCGAATCAACGTTACGGCGGCGTGCTGACATTCCGACGTCGTGCAAGAGCACCATTTCTGGGACGATGACTCAACGTTACGGCTGCGTGCTGACATTCCGACGTCGTGCAAGAACACCATGTCTGGGACGATGACCATGGAAACCCTTGAAACGGCTGCGATCTTTTGAAACGAATGTGCGCGGCGCTGAGGCGAGAACCACATTTTGAACAGAAAACGCCCTCCGTCCGCGACACTCTTGCAAGCCCTAAAAAAGAAGAAGGTGCGCGGTGCTAAAACGAGACCTACATCTAAACAAAAAGGCCCGCCCTCCATCCGTGACGCTCCTGCAAATGTTCCACACGAGTGTGAACGGCACACAAACGAGAACCGCATTTTGAAAACGGCCCGCCCTTCATCCGTGAAACTCTGGAATTTTAAAGGGGCCCTGGGACACACACATAAATAGACACAAATAACAGGATTCCCCTGGATTGTCCTATATGTTCTGGGTTTCTGTCTTCCCCCCCGCTTCCCACAGTTTCTTATATTTCCTGGAGGATCGGCGATTACTTGTGTCTGTGTGTTTCTTTCTCTCCTGAAATCTGTGCTAAGGCTTGCAAAAAAGGATTGCAAACAAACCCTTCGTTTGAACGAAGGATTGCAATCCTTTTTTTGTTTTGCAATCCTTTGTTTTTTTGCAATCCTTTTTTTTGTTGCAATCCTTCGTTTTATTGCAATCCTTGTTTTATTGCAATCCTTGTTTTTTTTGCAATCCTTAGTTTTTTTTGCAATCCTTGTTTTGTTTGCAATCCTTCGTTGTTTTTTGTAATCCTCCTGTGCGCGACGCCGAGGTGCGCCCCACAGTCTGAGAACGACCCGCCCTCCGTCCGTGCACCGAGCTTCCGGAGGCGAACGTGCGCGGCGCGACAGCGATCGTCATATTTTTTGAAGGCGGTGGCGGGGCCCCAGGACACACAAATAAATACACACAAATACAAATTCTCCCCATATACACAGAAATAAATACACATACATACACACAAATAAATACACACAAATGCGCGACAGCGATCGTCATATTTTGAAGACGGTGAAGGGGCCCCAGGACACACAAATAAATACACACATACACATTCTCCCCATATGCACACACAAATAAATACACATACATACACACATAGATACACACACATAAACCTATCCCTTATCTTTTCCCATATGTTCTGGGTTTCTGGCTTTTCCCCCCCAACTGCCCAGATTTTCCCATATTTTCCGGGGGATCGCCGATTAATGGTGTCTGTGTTTTTTTTTCTCCTCCTGATTTTCGGAAACGAATGTGCGCGGCGCGAAAGCGAGAATCATGTTTTGAAAACGAGCCGCCCTCCACCCGTCAAGCTGTTGCAACCTTGAAGCTTCAATATCATAAATGGTGAAGACGTCTCAGGCGAAACGCCCAGCCCGCCCTTTCGAATGGCCTCGGGGGGCGACGGGGGGGAAGTGTTTATGAGGACGAAGGGTGGAGGAGGAGAAAGAGGAGGACGAGGAGGAGAAGGAGGACAAGGACCTCCCCACCCTCCCTCCTCCCTCGTCCTGCCTGTAGTAGTGGTGGTGAAACATTTGCCGATCAGTTCTGGTTCACTCGCGGGACAACAAGGGCGAGAATAGGGACGACGAGGACGAGGAGAGGGACCAAAGGCTCCCAAAGGGGGTCCGAGAGCAGGTGGGGTCGGAGGATTGCGCCGTATCGCCGCTTCCCTGCCGATGCATCGGCGCCCTCGGCGTGGGGACAGTCGGGCTCCACATCGGGCCGCATCGCCGAAGCATCGGCGATGCGGCGCGATCCTCCGAACCCATCTGCTCGGACCCTACACCACGCGAAATGGTTAAGAAATCATGGGTTAAGAAATTCATGGTCTCAGAACTTGAATAAGAACCCAAAATTTCTATCAAAATCTTAAGATTTACATTGAAACGTTAAGAATAATCGAGACTCTGGCCGAAAATTTAGGTTTTTTTAAGCATCGCCTAAGGTGTACTTGTAGAGGATGAAAAGACGCCACAAACATCAACTTTTGGCGCTCCGCGTGGATTTCTTGAACTTGCGGTGGGCCCACCCGGCGGCGCCTCTGGCGCCGTTCCTGGCGCGCTCCGCGCACCAATGAGGGGGGTCCAGCGCGGATCCATCACATCCGCGCGGAGCGCCAACAGTGTATGCTTATGGCGTTTTTCCTCCTTCGCACCTGGGAGGACGCGAGCGACGAGGCAGGAGAGCCCAGAATCGAATCGACAAGTCGGATCGGCGATAGAAATGAATCGGATCGGCGGACATCGGCAGCCGAACCGGGAACCGTCGACTCTTCGGAAATCGGCAGGCTAATATGAAGGGGCCCCAGGACACACAAATAAATACACACAAATAACAAAATTCCCCATATTTTCCCATATTTTCTGGGTTTCTGTCTTCCCCCCCACTTCCCATATTTTCCCATATTTTCTGGGGAATCGAGGATTAATTGTGTCTGTGTGTTTCTTTTCCTCCTGATAATATGCCTCCCATGAAAGCTCGGAAGCCCCATCGGAGTCCGAAGCCGGACCGAATCGGAATCGAGAGCCACCGAAATCGAAGCGAATCGAGTCGGAAAAATCGAAACGAGCCCTGCGAGGATCGGGCCGGGCGAAAGGGGGGAATAACAAAGGGGGGGGTTGAGAATCAGCTCACGTAGCTGATTTTCCCGGCGCCTCCCGGCGCCGGAGGCGTCCATGCATGTACCGAGGAAGGGGCTCCTCGGTGGGGCCGAGACCAGCTGCATGCAGCAGATTTCGTAACCCCCCCTTTCCCAATCCCCCCCTTTCGCCCGGCCCTGCGAGGAGGACGAGGAGGAGGGAACAGGGGAGGAGAGAACAGAGGATGAGGACGAGGAGGAGGAGGACGAGGAGGAGGAGGACGAGGAGGAGGAGGACGAGGAGGAGGAGACGGAGGAGGAGGAGGAATTGGAGGAGGAGGACGAGGAGGAGGAAAAGGAAAAGACGAGGAGGAGGCAGAGGAGGCAGAGCAGGAGGAGGAGGAGGACGAGGACGAGGAGGGGAGGGCGGGGGGACCTCCGACCGCGCGCGGGGGGGAAGAGGAGGGCGGAGGCAGGGGGCGCCAGGCCCGGCAGGGGGCGCCAGGCCCGGCAGCTCCTGGGGCGCTTCGGCGGGCCCTCTCTCTCGCCAGGGGAGGCGCTGGCGCCCCGGGGCGGTGCCACGCGGGAGCCTGCTTCGATGGTCCTCAAAACTGACTACCTACCAAACCACCCCAACCCAACTTGAAGACCCGAATTTGACCCGAATATCGGGTTAGGGGGGGGTACGGGCTCCATGTGTTTTTTCGATGTTCCCAGACCCCCCCCCCATTGGAAATGGAGGGTAAATCGTGGCCTTCGGGTTGGGTTGGGGTGGTTTGGTGGGCGGTGAAGAACGCGCGTCGGCCCCAGCGTGTGTTTGCCCATCGAGGATTGTGTCGTTCCCATCTTACTCCAGGACCGCATCTCAGAACTGTTTTCGAGCACCCCGAAAACGATCGAGCCTGCTTCGATGGTCCTGAGAACGCGCGTCGGCCCCAGCGTGTGTGTTTGTGCATCGGCCCCTCTCGTTAATTCGAGCTGTGCGCGGCCCGCTTAGCTTCGACCAGAAGAGGTGCGCTCTCGACCCGCGGATCAAAAAAGTGTTTGCCCATCGAGGATTGTGTCGTTCCCATCTCCAGGACCACATCTCAGAACTGATTTCGAGCACCCCGAAAACCATCGAGCCTGCTTCGATGGTCCTGAGAACGCGCGTCGGCCCCAGCGTGTGTGTTTGTGCATCGGCCCCTCTCGTTAATTCGAGCTGTGCGCGGCCCGCTTAGCTTCGACCAGAAGAGGTGCGCTCTCGACCCGCGGATCAAAAAAGTGTTTGTCCATCGAGGATTATGTCGATCCCATCTTACTCCAGGGCCACATCTAAGAACTGATTTCGAGCACCCCGAAAACTATCGAAACAGTGCTTGCCAGACACGCTGGCGAGTTGCCGAACGAATATCGCCTCCCAGGGCCCAACACGTGAAAAGACTTCTTGGTGCTCAACATTCTTTTTGGTGATCAAGGCTGATGTAGGTTGGAACGACATAAATCGAGGACCTTCGATACGACGCAGGCGATGTAATGATCTACTGGTTGGGCCTAAGTGGGTAACACACACATTGGGCTGACACGCGTCATGAGGATCATTGACTGCTGCGTGGCTTGGGAGCTGTTTTTGTTTCATTCGGCGTTTCGACATAGGGCGGAACGGGGGGGAAAGGAGGGGTGTTCTGGCTCCGGACCTCTGCTGAGTGCGACTGTTTGCAGCAGTGCGTCCTGCGGTGGGAGCTCTACCTGCTTGAAACAGGCGCCAAAAACAGCCAAGATCTGCTCCAGGGGGGGGAAGGGGGGGTGCGATGGCCCGCGCCGATCGGCATAACAATAAATGACAAAACGATCGCCTGGAGGGGCCCAGGAACACATGAATAAATAACAAATCCCAGGATTAACAATATTGTCCCATGTCTTCTTGATTTTCGATTCCCCCACCACACTTCCCATAGTTTCCTCATGTTTTTTCGAAGTCGACATGTAACTGTGTCTGTGTGTTTTTCCCCTCATGAATGACGCACACGACAATCCAAGGAGAGCCCAACATGAACTCTAGCAGACTCAAGTACCCCCCACAAAACGCCCCAAGAGGCGTCCAGGAGATTCGCCAGGAGGACCCCGGCGAGGCTCTCCGAGGCAGGCACGTCTTGAAGACAGAATGGGTGCTTGCTTCGGAGGGTGGTCGGCTTCAGATCGCCCAGATAATGCTTCAGAGAGCACCCAAAGGCACAAAAAACTGCCCAAGACGGCCCCAACAGCGGCCCACGACTGCAAGACAACGTCCCCAAGGAGCCCACGAGAGCTCCAAGACGACCTCAATATTTGCCCAAATTGCCTCACGATGGTTCATGGGGAAACCACAAGGTACCAAAACCGCTACTTCCCAGACCTCTCCTGGGGGCGCGTTCTGACCAGAACTTCGAGGCGAAGCCAGCGGTGGCGACCAGGGCCTCCCAGGAGGTCGGAAGCAAAAGAAGGAACACTAGGACAAAGTAGCGGTACGGGTACCTTCCCTTAGTGGGCCCCGGGAACGGCAGGGCCGTTTTTTCACCGTTTGCGAAAAAATGTCCCTTGAAACTGGAAACGGCAAAAAAACGGCGACCGGAAACGGCAATAAAAACGGCTCCAGGATTGGAGCCGGAGCGGAAACCCGTAGAAAGAACGGCCACGGAACCGGCAACAAAAACGGCGTCGGAACCGGCAACAAAAACGGCGAAACGGAACCGGTTGAAAAAAACGGCCCTGTCGTTTCCAGGGCCCACTGAGTTCGGGGAGACGTCAGACTCGGGTTCGGGGGACTCGGGTTGGTCTGACGGGGCCAGCCATGACAATGACGAGGCCCGATCTGGAATTTGACTCTGAGCCGCGCGCGACCGTGCGCGGCGCCTTTCGGTGCGTACTTTGCGCGGTGGAACGCGCAGTTTTGGCGGCGCCGACCGTGTGGGCAGGGTGTCCCGCTGCAGGGGTCGTTCGGCCGTCCGCGCCAGGGCGCCCAACGCCGCAAAAGAAAATGCCCTGGAACGCAAACTCTGCAATTTTTTGGAGCTCCCGCTGCAGACGTCCCACGAGAACTGGACCCGCAAAATCCAGGACGCGCTCGTCAAAAAAAATCGACAGACCCGAGTCCCGGCGCTCTCGAGTCTACCGTTTCCCCGATAAGTACCCTCCACCAACGAGGAGGGGGAGGAGGCAACGAGGAGGAGGAGGAGGAGGAGGAGGAGGAGGAGGAGGAGGCAACGAGGAGGAGGAGGAGGAGGAGGAGGAGGAGGAGGAGGAGGAGGAGGAGGAGGCTCGGAGTACCCTCCCCGCCCCCCTCCTGAGTTCAGTCCAGCCTCTGCTGGGGGAGCCCTGGGCCCACCACCGCGCCCACCTGCCCGCACCAGAGGCCCCCCCCCCCAGGCGGGCCCCCCCGCGGCGGGCGCCCGCAGCGGGCGCCCCAGAGGCCCCCGAGAGGGCCCAGGAGACCCTCCAGAGGGCGGGCGCCGACAGCGGGCGCCCAAGAGGCCCCCGAGGGGGCCCAGGAGACCCTCCAGAGGGCCAGTGGAGCGACCAAGAAGCCTCCAAGGTGCTGCCACGACGGCCAGCGAGGACGAAGGATGACAGACGCGGACGGTTTTGGAGCGTCTTGCGGAGCACAGCGCGCGTGGGAGCAGGGAAAGGGAGGAGAGGAGAGAGAGACCCACCACCCCGAGGTTCCCGCTAATTAGGGACCCCCCCCAGCAACCACGGCCCTCGAGGGGGCGGATGGAAGAAGATGAGCAAGAGGCTGAGGACAAGGAAGTGGTGCGGCCAGACCTAGGGCCGACTCAAATCCTTGAAGAACATTAGACCCTCCGCATGTCAACCCGAAGAACATTGGAGGATACCCTCCCCCAGGATGCACAAGAACACTCCACAACCACGAACAGCATCAGGGTGCCCTCCCCGAACCGACCTGGATCTTGCACCTCGGTCCGACTGTGTTCAAGACCCGCGCCAGATCAGACGAGGCACTGAGATGCAGCGAGTCTTAAGCTCGACATCCCTCCTTCTGCGCTACTGCGCCAGCACGGTGGTGGTGCTTGTTGCAGGCAAGAGGATATCTCACAACTCTCTCCAAGGCCACGCCAACGGCGATGTTGGTGAACGGCGATGTTGGAAATCTGGTTGTTCAGAAAAAAGAAAAGGCACATTAACACACACTTTCGACGGTCCGCGCGGATTTCTTGGATTTGCGCTGGGCCCCCCTCCCTGGCGCGCGGAACGCGCCAGGGGCGGCGCCGGAGGCGCCGCCAAGGGGCCCCAGCGCAGATCCAAGAAATCCCGTGGAGCTCCAAAAGTTTATGTTTATAGTGCTTCTACTTCGAATCTCACAACTATCTGTAAGGCCACGCCAACGGCGATGTTGGTGAACGGCGATGTTAGGAATCTGGTTGTTGCGACGCCAAACTCGCGCACCACAAAGTGCAGGAAAACGCGAACAAGCCCTTCCCACAACTGGGCTGGCCACGAGCCACCCCCACCTACAATTAAGTCGGGTCTGTCCTCCTACAGGGGGATTTAGGACGGAACATCAAACATAGTCACTAAATGCTCAAAAACAAACTTGTCGGACAATCGTCCTCGTACTTTTTTTGACTACGTTTGAATATTCCTCCTGTAGAGGGACGTGCCCGACTGAGACCTACAGCGCTGGAACCGACATCGCCGTTGCTTGCATCGCCGTTAGCGCGTCCACAGTCGAGGCGTTGACCTAAGGAGCGCTAAATAAGGAACGAGGCCCCTATTTTCCATGAGCTGAACCTCGATTCGGCATCGAAAACAGAAGGACAAAACCCGAGGCAAGCTGCGAAACAACCGAGGAACACGGAGCCCCTCCCAAGCGAAAAGGGCTCTTTCTTCAGGGCGTGCGTGCGTGCGTGCGTGCGTGCGTGCGTGCGTGCGTGCGTGCGTGCGTGTGTGCGTGTGTGTGTGTGCACACGCGGGGCCCAAAAAAGCGGCCCCGCCGTGTGCTCGCGCGCCTCCCAGGCGAAAAGGGCTCTCTTTCTGCAGGGCCCCGACTCTGCGTGCAACGTTCTGCACGGAGCCAACCGCAGGGACGCGCGGAAGCGGGTCCGTCGCCTCGCTGCGTCCCGACTGCGCCTTTCTGAAGGGGCCCCGGGACACACGGATCAGCAGACACAGATGACAGGATTCCCCAGATCTTCCCATGTCTTCTGGGTGTTCGTCTTCCCCCCCCCCACTTCCCATATGGTTTCCCATATTTTCTGGGGGGTCGACGATTAATTGTGTCTGTGTGCTTTTCCCCCTCCTGACCCAGACCCCTTTCGACTGCCCCTCCTCCGCGCAGGGGCCTCATGGGGGGCCGAACGCGGACACGAAAACTCGACTCCCCCTTCCCCCAGGAGCCCCCGGACCAGAACATGGAATTCCACTGGGGAGACCATCAAGTCGGCCGTGTCCCCCTACAGGGGGATTTTCGACGAAAAATCAAAAATACTTTAAACACAATTCAAAAATAATGCACAAATGGTCTGGGGATTATTTTTTGAGTATCTTTAAACCTTTTTGGGACATGTTTGGGGTAATTTTCATTTTTCGTCGACAATCCCCCTGTAGGGGGGCACGCCCGACATAAGGAGACCAAAAGGCACCGATGCCGCTACTCCACGAGACTCTCCAGGGGCGCGCTCTGAGCAGAGCGTCGAGGCGAATCCAGCGGCGGCGACGAGGGCCCCCAGGAGGCCCAGGAGCGCGAAAGCGGGGCAACAGGTGCCAGTGTGGGCACCTTTTTCGCCCCTCCGAACACGCAGGCCCTTCTTAGGGGGCAAACAAACCTACCTCGCTTTTGACCACCCTCGCTTCCAAGAGATACCAAGCGATCCCAAACTACGGCCTGTACTGATCAGGCCGCTTGACGAGGAGGCGCGTGGTATGACTTGGTTTTGCCTGGAAGCGAAAGCGGGGTAGGTAATTCACGCTCTGACTTCTGCTGCACAGCGACCAACCCTGGCACGGCCCCGCCGCGCAGCGCTCCCGCCCCCCCCCCTCCGCGCCTCCGGCCTGCACGTCCGCAGGCAGGCCTCCACCACGTTGGAGCTGAACTTCTGCCGGGAGAGCACCTGGTCCGCCCCACCGCCCGCCCACGGGGGAAGAAGGTACCCATAACCGCTGCCCTGTCGTCGTTCTCTCCTTCTTGGGCCTCGGGAGCCCTCGTCGTCCGTTGTGGGCCTCCCCGAAGGTCTGCTCAGCAAGCACCCTGGGAGAGGTTCGTGGAGTAGCCAATATCGGTACCGGTTGGTTTGCCCACCTCCCGCCCTCCCTCCCGCGTCCCTTCTCTCCCGGCACCTCTACTAGAGGCTTCCTGGATGGGGTCCGAGTAGGTGGGGTCGGAGGATCGCGCTGCATCGCCGATGGATCACCGATACATCGACGATGCATCGACGATGTATCGGCGACGTCGGCGATGCGTCGGCGACGTCGGCGTCAAGACAAGCGGGATCCACATCGTGCCGCATCGGCGATGCGGAGCGATCCTCCGACCCCGTCGACCCCGACCTCATCTAGAAGGCCTGGATCCACTGTGAAGTTTCTGCCAACGTGAACAATGCCTTTTGCCCTAAGCAGGAAAGTCCAGAATCGAATCGATTAGTCGGATCGGCGACCGAAATGAACCGGATCGGCGGAAATCAGCAGCCAAACCGAGAAAAGTCGAATCGACGGAAATCGGCAGGCTAGTAGGCCTCCGCTGTGAAACGGGGAGCCCGAAGCGGAATCCCAAACCGAATCGAATCGGAATCGGAAGCCATCGACATCGAGTCGAATCGGAGGAATCGACACGAGCCCTTTGCCACACGCAGCGCTTGCACCTCTGGGGTCCCCACCCGTGCTCTCCACAAGCGGCTGGCTGGCATGTTTCTGGGTTTCAGTGTGCGGTGCCCGCCCCGGAGCACCTCTTGAGCAGTGACCGACCGTTCCGGCATTCCCCTAGGCTGAAGGCCTACCACGAAATGCTCTTAGCACCCCAAGATGTTCGAATGACAAAACCCAATGCTCTTAGAACATAAACCCGATGCGTTAAAGCGAGACAGGCCCAGCCGGCAATGTTCCAAGAACCTTTCGTGCCGACCACAAAAAGTCTTTAGAACATGTCCTTTCGTGGGCCTATAACAGGCGAGCCAGGACGCTTCGCAACTGCTTGATTTTCTGGGCTGCCGTGCGCGGTGCCCGCGCGCCTGGCCGCTGCTGCCCCCCCCGGCTGCTCATCGTCGATCTCTTCGGCGCCTGAGCGTCGCTTCTTCCTCTCGGCCGCCCCCGGGCGTTGGCAGAACTGGGTTTAATGGAACCTGGTTTAGTGATTTGTACCGGGGGCGCCCCCCCGCCCCATTTCCACTAACCGGAACTGCCGTCACCCGAAAAACACCAGTTACGGCAAACCTGGTTTAGTGAAAAGGGCTAATTGAGGGGCCCCAGGGCCCTACCACTAACTGGGTCCCCTTACCCGGGGTCCTGGCTATACCCGACGCCCCCCCGCCCCTCTTTCTGCTCGCCGGCCCATGCGCCAGCTTGTGCCCCATATCTCGCTTCTCGCTGGAGCGGAGCTCGCCGCCTCGCCGCCGACGAACCAGAGGGCGCTGCACGCCCAGCGGGCGTCCCAAATCGGCGCACGAGGAGGAGGAGGAGGAGGAGGAGGAGGAGGAGGAGGAGGAGGAGGAGGAGGAGGAGGAGCAGGAGGACGAGGACGAGGAGGAGGAGGAGGAGGAAGAGGAGGGGTCTGATGAAGCGGACGTCCGTCTAGGACGCCCCCGCCGCGCAGGGCAGACGCCGAGCCTATGCCCAGCAATCAAAACCGCCAGAGGCCCAGCCTATGCCAAGCCACTGGAGGGCGCTAAACCTATGCCTAGCACCCCAACGCCAGGAGGAGGAGGAGGACGAGGAGGAGGACGAGGAGGAGGACGAGGAGGAGGAGGAAGAGGAGGAGGACGAGGACGAGGGAGGAGGAGGAGGGAGGACTAGGACGAGGAGGGAGGACGAGGAGGAGGAGGAGGAGGAGGAGCAGGAGGAGGACAGGAGGAGGAGGACGAGGAGGACGAGAGGAGGAGGAGGAGGACGAGTAGGAGTAGGAGTAGGAGTAGGAGTAGGGTAGGAGTAGGAGGAGGAGGAGGCGGAGGAGGAGCGAGGAGGAGGAGGAGGAGGACGAGGAGGACGAGGAGGAGGAGGACGAGGACGAGGACGTGGAGGAGGAGGAGGAGGAGGAGGAGGACGAGTAGGAGGAGGAGGACGAGGAGGAGCGGCGCCCCCCGTGCGCTGGCTGGCAGCTCCGACGGCGCCCGCCGAGGGGGCCCCGCCCTGCGGGGCGCTCCGCGGGCGCCCGCGTGCTGCGGGCCCACGCGCCCGGGGGAGCTCACAAGCCGGGCAGGCAGTGCTTCTATCGGGTCGGGCGAAAGGGGGGATAGCAAAGGGGGGCGGTTGAGATCAGCTCGCGTAGCTGATTTTCCCGGCGCCTCCCGGCGCCGGAGGCGGCTATGTATCGAGGAATGGGCCCCTCGGTGAGGCCGAAACCAGCTGCATGCAGCAAATTTCGTAACCCCCCCTTTCCCAATCCCCCCCTTTCGCCGGCCCGATTCTAGTGACTACCTACCAGACCACCCCAACCCAACCCGAAGACCCGAATTTCGGGTTGGGGGGGGGTAAGGGCTCCACACGTGCTTTTTCGATGTTTCCCGACCCCCCCCCCCCCTCACTGGAAATCGAGGGTAAATCTGGGCCTTCGGGTTGGGTTGGGGTGGTTGGGTGGGTGGTGATCTAGGCCACGGGCTGGCGACGCTCCTGCTCGAGAGGCTCCTGCTGGCGCCGCAGGAGAGCTCGCCAGCGGTGTCCTCTCGGCGGTGGACAGACCTCCCTTTAAGTACACCGCCCTTTAGTGGAAACGGCCTGGGACCGAAACCGACGGACCTGGACCTGCAAAAATGACGGCTGCGACGCCCTCTCGCCAACAGAAACGGCACAATCGCTAATCGACGTGTCAGAGTAGGAGGTCTATCAACCTCCGATCCTTCTCCGTGGTGGTGGATGACATCATCCCGAGTCGAACTGGGGGACTTCAGCGCACGATGCGGGAGGTCTCTGACGCGGCCTACAAGCTTGAGACGCTGCCGGACGACATCGACTTGCGGGTGTCGCCCAAAAAGTCGAGAGCTCTGGCCAATCACCCCGCTGCCAGAGCGGGTTTGGCCAAGCGGTTGCGGCGGCCGCGGAGGCAAGCGTGTCGGTCGTGCAGTTCGGGCAGAGGAGTCGCCCACCAGCGGCTCCGTCGAGCGGGAGTGACCAGGACGGGCAAGAGCAGAAAGCAGGCGGCCCAGCGAGTGGCCAAGACGGGGGTGGAGCTCAGCGTGGCCTACGGCGCAAGGGTCACAAGGCTCGCGCAGGGGGAGCCGGACAAGGCGAGGAGCATCACCTTCATCGCCACCTCGTCCAGCACGGCCGGGAGAGCGCGCACCCTTGCGTTGATGCTTCAGCCAGGTATCGACCCAATGATTCACGCCACCCTCGCGCCCGTGATGATGCTGCTGCTGCACGCGAGGTGGGAGGGCGGGGTGCCTCGCCACACGATCGGCGTCTGCCTGTGTGAAGGTCGAGCATATACCTGGGCGCACGTGCACGGCCCGCTGCCTGCGGTCGTCATCACGCTGCGCCGGGTTGGCTGGGACATCATTGCTGCTGAGCGTTGGAGGTGCCACGATGGGACGGAAGTGCGGCCCTGCGTTGCTAACTAGAAGTGTCCCTGGCGAGGGTCCGCCGTCCGCGCGAAAACGATTCGCGCGAAAACTGCGGCCGTTCGAAAGAAATTCGCTGGGCGCGCGCGAAAAGGTGCGCACCGGTTCCTGGCGCTCCCGCTGTCTGGCGCCCCAAGAACTCATGGCGGACCAGGATGGCGGCTCTTCGACGCCTCCCCGTGGGTTATGCAGAAGCTGCTGCTGCGCTCCGTCGAGAGCTGGCAGCGGCGGCAAGCCGCGGCCTCCCCGGGCTGCGAGCACTTGGCACGAGGCGGGGTCCTGGAGCCGCTGGTGCGCCTCACGACGACGGGCCTCGAAGACAGCGTGTACTTCCCCAAGAGGTACGGGCCAGGAGCCGCGCAGGAGAGTGAAGGGGCCCTGGGACACACAAATCAATACACACACAAATAGCAGGATTCCCCACATCCTCCCATATCTTCTGGGTTTCTGTCTCCCCCCCACTTCCCCTATTTTCCCACATCTTCTGGGAATCGACGACTAATTGTGTCTGTATGTTTTTTCCCCTCCTGAGAGAGTGAGGCTCATGCTGAAGGAGCGCGGGTACATCGGGCCGCTGGTCACCAACGGCCAGTGTTATGTCGGGCGTGTCCCCCTGCAGGGGGATTTTCGACGAACAATTCTTAAAATACCCCAGAAAAAAAAAACCCAAAGAGGTCAAACAATAATCAAAACATAGTCCCCAGACTATTTGTGGACCTGTTTTTGACTATTGTTGGTGTATTTTTCATTTCTCGTCGAAAATCCCCCTGTAGGGGGACACGCCCGACTGAAGGCCAGTGGCCGCAGGCGAGGAAGGCGGACAAGGGCATGGCGCCCCCTCGGAGGACCGCCTCCGCTGCGGCCCGCGGGGCGCGCTGCTGCACGGGCGCCGCGACGGCGACAGCCGGAAGGACGTCTTTCGGGCGCCGGCCGTGGTCCGGTTGTCCTCCTCCTCCTCCTCCTCCTCCTCCTCCTCCTCCTCCTCCTCCTCCTCCTCCTCCTCTCCTCCCCCTCCCCTCCTCCCCCCTCCTCTCCTCCTCCTCCTCCTCCCCCCCTCCTCCTCCTCCTCCCTCCCTCCTCTCCCTCCTCCTCCTCCTCCCCCCTCTATGCCTCCTCCTCCTCCTCCCCTCCTCCTCTCTCCCTCCATCCTCCTCCTTCCTCTCCTCCTCTCTCCTCCCTCCTCCTCCTCCTCTCCTCATCCTCCTCCTCACCTCCTCCTCCTCCTCCCCTCCTCCCCTACTCCTCCTCCTCCTCCCTCCTCCCCCTCCTCCTCACGCCTCCTCTCCTCCTCCTCCTCCTCCTCCAAGTCCTCCTCCTCCTCCTCCTCCTCCTCTCGCCTCTCGCATCATGTATTACTTCCTCATCTTTTACCTCCTCATCATCCTGCCATTCCTCCTCCCTGCTCCTCCCTGCTCCTTCCGTTCCTCCCTCCTCGTGTTTGTTTGTCAGTCTGCTTCTCTGTACTTCCTCCCATTCCTCAACCTCCCTCGGCTCCCTGCTGCGTCCTCCCCTCACCTCCTGATGCCTCATCCTGCCTTCTATGCCTCAACCTTTCCTTATCCTTCCTTCCTCCCCTGCCCTGCTCCCTGATTCCCTCATTGGCCTCTTCTTCCTCCCTCCCTCCCTCCCCTCTCCTCTCCGTTCTAGAAATCTTCTTCGTGTGATTCCTCCTTCTCTTTCTCACTCACCCCTCCATCCTCCACTCCCTCACTCCCTCCATCCTCCTCCCTCCGCCTTCTCTCTTCTTCTCCTCCTCCTCCTCCTCCTCCTCCTCCATCTTTCCTGAGGGGGGGGGGCGACCCCCGAATCGCCGATGAGACATGGGAGGGGAAGGAGGAGAGGAGGGGGGTGACGAGGAGGAGGAGGAGGATGAGGCAGAGGAAGAGGAGGAGGAGGCCGACGAGGAGGAAGACGATGAGGGCAACGACGAAGATGGGGCCGTCGAGCAGCACTTTGGATGCCCCGAGGATCCCCCCAAAGCGGGTCTTGCGCGAGGCGAGGCAGCGAAAAACCTCACTCTTGCGCGGCAGCTCACCGTCGCGGGCCGCCAGCGCGGCGCACGCCACACCGGAAGCGAGGGCGCGCAGGCGCGAGCAGCTGTCCTCGCGAGCAGCTCGCGCGCCGATGCCTGCGCAGACGAAGGCGTTTTGCCTGCGTCGCTCACCTGTAGGTTGCAGGCAACCTCCCGGGATCTCCCAAAAGCTCACGTTGCCGCGATCGCGTGAGTGTCCCATGCCGGTCTGGTGATCTGTGTGCATTCGTATGCGCTTGTGCCCCGCTTGTCCTTCACACGTGCATCGCATGTTCTCCCGTCGCAGCGCGGGACGTAGGGGAGAGATCATCCTGCAGGGCGTGGGAAGAGATTGATCGAAGGTGGTCCACAGAGCACACAGCAGCACTTAGGTCGGCAGACTGTCTACGCACCCAATTTCGAATCCAAGGAGACGGAGGAGAAGGCCGATGATGGAGAAACCCAAAGGTACCATCACCGCTACTCCACTCCTGGGGTGCGTGCTGACCAGGATTTCGAGGCGAATCAAGCAGTAGCGACGAGGGCCTCCTAGGAGACACAAAAAGGGGAAAACGAGAGAAGGGTAGCGGTATGAGTGTCTTTCCCTCCTCTGAAAGGAGGAGGAGGAGGAGGAGGAGGAGGAGGAGGAGGAGGAGGAGGAGGAGAAGGAAATGAAAGACACAAAAAATTCACGTACACTGGAACTGCTGCCGGCCCTGCGTGAGCACGGCCGCCCTGCACCCTCCCGTGAGCTGCGCGCAGCGGTGGGGGGCTGCGGGGGGCACGTTCAGGCGGCCCAGCAGATTTCTGCAGATGTCGGAGGTCGCCTGCCAGGGGGCACGGGGGCACGGCACGCCATGGCGGTGAGGGGAGGGGAGAACGGCGTGCGGGGGCAGATTGAGAGCACAAACATATATGCATCTAAGTGGCACATGCGTATACGTGTCCAATTCTGTGAAGGGAAACTGGGACACACAAATAAATACACACAAATAAAACGATGCCCCATATTTTCCTATATTTTCTGGGGTTTTTGTCTTCCCCCCACTTCCCATATTTTCCCATATTTTCTTCGGAATCGACGATTAATTGTGTCTGTGTTTTTTTTCCTCCTGATATACGTGTCCAACTCTGGAAACCCTGAACCCAAACAGATTGTCATGTCTTGGGGTGCGCATCTTTGATTTCCGCCGGCCGCCCGCTTCCGCCGGCGGAGACGCCCTCGCTTTACTTCGGCCGCCTGCCACCAACCTTCCGCCGCCTTCCGCCGAGGAAGAGATGCCAACTCCTTCGACCCTCGAAGGCCAGACCCTTCTGTCAGGGGGACGTAAGACCTGGGTACAGGGGACTCGGAAATCCCCGACGAGGTCGTCAAAAAAATGACGAGGCCGAGCCTGTATTTTGACGAGGCCTCCCGCTGCAGACATCCCACGAAACTCCCCCTCGTCAAAATCCGAGGCGCGGTCGTCAAAAAACGATGGCGAACCCGAGTCCTGGCAAACCCGGGTCTTACGCTCCCCCGATTCTGGAACCCGTCATATCCGCCGATCCGGCGTGTGAGTTTGAAAGAGCCTTAGATGTAGCCTCAGCTTCGGTTCCTGAGCTTCTGCTCTGCTGGGGCGTTGGGTGCCGGGGTGGCTCTGCCGGGGTAGGGGGGTGGGGTTGGGGGGGGGGACGCGCTGTGCGGCATTTTCTGGCCTCTGCGGGCGTTCCTGGAGGTCCACTTGGAGGCCTCTTGGGCCGTCTTGGAAGCCTCTTGGGGGCTGCTCAGGCCGTCTTGGGCCATCGTGAGGCAATCCCTCCCTCCACCTCCCTCCGCCTCATGCTCCACCCACTCCTCCACCTCCCCTTCCAACAACCAAATCGCGTCGGGAGCGCCCCCAGATCGGCGGCACTGGCCGGAGGCCGCTACAATAAATGAACACGTTTTTCCTTGCTTGCTCGACTCTGCACAAGCCACAGGGCCCAAAAGGCATGCCGAGCTTCATGGTAGAGCGCACCCTGCCCTATTCCTTCCCCACGTGGACCCACAATGCTATTTGAATAGGCCCCAGGCGTCGTGAAATCGACTACACCTGCAAGTCTCTGCTTTTTGGCCTTTGGCCTACACCATCTCACTACTCTTATGACTACCTACCAGACCACACCAACCTGACCCGAAGACCCAAGTTTTGGGTTGGGGGGATACGATGTTTCCCGACCGCTCCCCCACTGGAGATCGAGAGTAAATTTGGACCTTTGGGTTGTGGGGTGGTTTGGGTGGTGGTGATCTGAGGGCGAACACACTCAACCGCAACTATCCCCTTGCGGTTCCCAACTCGCCGCATCTGGGACCCGACAGCCCGCCGACCTTGTGAAGATGTGTGCTCTGGCCATCGCTCGGACGTCCATTCCCTGTGTTTTTTTGGGTTTCGTGCATGGCTTTTTCGCCACATGATCGAGGATGCTGCTCGATGGTCCTCGCCGAAGGAAAAATGCACACGTCCGAGCGATGCCAAGTGCTCCGTGGCGAGGGACCATCGCGATGACGGGCACCATGGCGAGGGACCGTCGCGAGGACGGGCAGGGCCCCGCAACAGCGTCGGAAGGCGATGGCGGCGCACGGGACAACCCCTGGGGTGGCCGCCCGGGGCGGTCGGGGACGGGGGCGTACGGAAGGGGTACGAAGACCGACGGCAGGACTCGCTGTCCGCGCGGCTGCGGACGCTGTCCCTGGAAGACACAAAGCCGCCCGCCCAACAGCGGCCGATGTCGGCTTTGGGCAGCATGTGTTGTTGGGCACTAGGGGGAGACCACGACGGCAGGCCAGGAGGCGCAGGGGACGCCCAGAAGGCCGCCAAATGGTCCTGGGCGGTCACTGGCCATCGCTCGGGCGTCCATTCCCTGTGTTCTTTCCGGTGTCGTGCGTGGCTTTTTCGCCACATGATCAAGGATGCTCCTCGATGGTCCTCGCCGAGGAAATTATCCTGGCGACGGACCCAACCATGTGCAGTTGTGAATATCGCATTGCGGGTGCCGCTTTCGGTGGAGCTCCCTGTGGGGCCACGAAACGCTGTGCTGGGTGGGGGTGACGCATGCGGGCGGCACCACTGGGGCCTTCGGTGGAGGTCCCTGTGGGGCCACGAAACGCTGTACTGGGCGGGGGTGACGCATGCGGGCGGCACCACTGGGGCCGTCGGTGGAGCTCCCTGTGGGGCCACGAAACGCTGTGCTGGGTGGGGGTGGCGCATGCGGGCGGCACCACTGGGGCCTTCGGTGGAGCTCCCTGTGGGGCCACGAAATGCTGTGCTGGGGTGGGGGTGACGCATGCGGGCGGCACCACTGGGGCCTTCGGTGGAGGTCCCTGTGGGGCCACGAAACGCTGTGTTTGGTGGAGGTGCCGAAATGGGTGTGCGGGACGCATGCGAGCGGTGGCACTGGGGCCTTCGGTGGAGCTCCCTATGGGGCCACGAAGCGTGTGAGGGGTGTGCCGAAATGGGTGTGGCTGACGCATGCGGGCTGGGGCCACGAAACGTGTGAGGGGTGTGCCGAATTGGATGTGGCTGACGCGTGCGGGCGGCGGCACTGCGGCCTTCGGTGGAGCTCCCTATGTGGCCACGAAAGCGTGAGGGGTGTGCCGAACTGGGTGTGGCTGACGCATGCGGGCGGCAGCACTGGGGCCTTCGGTGGAGCTCCCTATGGGGCCACGAAAGCGTGTGAGGGGTGTGCCGAATTGGGTGTGGCTGACGCATGCGGGCGGCAGCACTGGGGCCTTCGAGTGGGGCCACCGTGTGAGGGGTGTCCGCATATGGGGCCACGAAAGCGTGGAGATGGGACGTGTGGTGTTGTCGAATTGGTGTGGCTGACGCATGCGGGGGGCGGCACTGGGGCCTTGGTGGAGCTCCTATGGGCCACGAAACGTGTGAGGGGTGTGCCGAACTGGGTGTGGGACGCATGCGGGCGGCAGCACTGGGGCCTTCGGTGGAGCTCCCTATGGGGCCACGAAACGTGTGAGGGGTGTGCCGAACTGGGTGTGGCTGACGCATGCGGGCGGCGCACTGGGGCCTTCGGTGGGGTGAGCCCGACTGTGTGAGGGGTGTGCCGAATTGGGTGTGGCTGACGCATGCGGGCGGCGGCACTGGGCCTTCGGTGGAGCTCCCTATGGGGCCACGAAACGTGTGAGGGGTGTGCCGAATTGGGTGTGGCTGACGCATGCGGGCGGCAGCACTGGGGCCTTCGGTGGAGCTCCCTATGGGGCCACGAAACGTGTGAGGGGTGTGCCGAATTGGGTGTGGCTGACGCATGCGGGCGGCGGCACTGGGGCCTTCGGTGGAGCTCCCTATGGGGCCACGAAACGTGTGAGGGGTGTGCCGAACTGGGTGTGGCTGACGCATGCGGGCGGCAGCACTGGGGCCTTCGGTGGAGCTCCCTATGGGGCCACGAAGCGTGTGAGGGGTATGCCGAATTGGGTGTGGCTGACGCATGCGGGCGGCGGCACTGGGGCCTTCGGTGGAGCTCCCTATGGGGCCACGAAACGTGTGAGAGGTGTGACGATGACGGTGATGATGACGATGATGGTGGGTGATGATGATGATGATGATGATGATGACGATGATGATGATGATGATGATGACGATGATGATGATGCTGATGGGAGGAGGGAGGAGGGGGAAGAGGAGGAGAGGAGAGGAGAGGAGGGGAACGCGGGGCACCGTCTCTTCAAAACGAGGACCCAACACCACAGGATGGTTGGGAAAAATGCACACGTCCGAGCGATGCCAAGTCCTAGGCGGTCAGGGAAACACCGGGGAGTCTCTCGAGAAGTGGGGACTGTTTTTTTTCGTGGGCGCGCAAACACGGATTCGCGATCCATGAAACTGGCGCGCGGTCGCCAACTCCACGGATCGGGGGAGGTGTCCTCTCCAAAATGCGGTCGGTGCCGCCTCGCTCGGCGGCGGAAATTCGCGATTTCCCATGCAAACGGGACCCGTCGTTAATCCACGCCCCCTGAAACCGTGTTTGCGATCGCCTGATTATTGGAATTCGTAAACCTGGTCCTGTTCTTTTCACATTCAAAACACAATTTTCGAATTCAGAAAGCTTGTGGACTTGAGTGCAAGTGGTCAGGGGAGAAGCT